TGCCCTGCACCATAATGACCCGGCCCTGCGGCGCGGCGCTCGAACGGTTGACCAAACTTGCCCTCCCGATGCCAGCCAAAATGCAACCAGCCGCCCTTCGGAGGCGACTGGTGAAAGATCAAATTGCGTTTATCGGTGTGCCGAGAGTTTTATACGGCGACAGGTCAGGTAATTGCCCGCAATTACCACCATATCTTGCCTTTGGATTCCTCAAACAGTTGGTCGTAGTCGCGAGTCCACAAGGCGGTGCTCAGGTATTTCCAGCCACCGTCGGCCAGCAAGCAGACGATGGACCCGCGCTCCATCCGCTCGGCTTGGCGAATGGCACCGTAGACGACCGATCCGGAGGACACGCCTGCGAAGATGCCCTCTTCGGTCAACAGGCGCTTGGTGGTCTGGAAAGCCTCAAGGCTTCCCACCAGCATGCGGGAGTCCAGCAGGTTGATGTCCAGAATCGGCGGGATGAATCCATCCTCGAGGCTGCGCAGCCCTGAGATGAAGTCCTCGGGTTCAGGGGCCACGGCTACGATCTTGACCGCCGGGTTGTATTCCTTGAGCCGACGGGCCACACCCATCAGCGTTCCGCCGGTGCCCAGGCCGCCAACGAACATCTCCACATCGGGTACGGCCTCGACAATCTCCGGCCCCGTTGTCTCGTAATGCGCCCCCGGGTTTCCGCTGTTCCCATACTGGTACATCATTATGTAGTCGTGGGGACGTTTCTCTATGAGGTCCTGGGCCACCTCGATGGAACCATTGGTGCCGCGGGTGCCATCGGAGGAGATGATCTCGGCGCCGTAGGCCTCAAGCAGCTGGACCCGCTCAATGCTAACATTCTCCGGCATCACCACGGCGACCTTGTAGCCCTTCATCCGGCCGATCATGGCGAGGGAAATGCCGGTGTTGCCGCTGGTCGGCTCAAGAATGGTACGGGAGCCTCCGAGCTCGCCATCGGCCTCCGCCATCTCGATCATCTTGAGGGCAATGCGGTCTTTGACGCTGCCGGTGGGATTGGAGCCCTCCAGCTTGGCGAATATGCGCACTTCCGGCTTGGGACTCAAGCGCTGCAATTCAACCGTCGGCGTGTTGCCGATGGTGTCCAGAATGCCCTTGTATGTCAGCTTAGCAACCATTTATGACCCTGACCAGATGAGGTCCGGATTGCAGACCTCTCCCGCCCTGCGGGTTAGAGAAGGAGAGATCCGGGCTTTTTCCTAGTCGTCCGAAGCGCCTACTGTGGCTGGTTCCTCATGAGGCTCGGCCACGCCGCAGAAGATCTCGTAGTCAATCAGTTCAGTCACAGTGGGGTTGTCGCCGCAAAGCGGGCACTTCGGGTTCCGCTTGAGGCGCACCTCGCGGAAGCTCATGTCCAGAGCATCCACGATCAGCAGTCGGGACACCAGCGACTGACCGATGCCGAGGAAGTGCTTCAGAGCCTCGGTTGCCTGGATGCTGCCCACCAGTCCGGTCATCGACCCAAGCACGCCTGCCTCGGCGCAGTTGGGGACCATTCCGGGGGGAGGCGGCGACGGGAAGAGGCAGCGGTAGCAGCCCTCGCCCGGAATAAACACCGTGGCCTGGCCATCGAAGGTCAGGATGCTGCCATCGACCAGCGGCTTGCCCAGCAGGTAGCAGGCATCGTTGACCAGGTATCGGGTGGCAAAGTTGTCGGCGCCGTTTACAACCAGATCGTATTGGCTGATGATATCCATTGCGTTTTCAGAACTCAGCCAAGTCTCGTGCAAGACGACGTTAACATCCGGGTTGTAGGACTTGATGTTATCGAAGGCTGACTGCACCTTGGGCCGTCCCACGTCGGCGGTGTGGTGGAGAACCTGGCGCTGCAGGTTGGAGAGATCCACAACGTCGAGGTCCACGATGCCGATGGTGCCGACACCGGCGAGGGACAGGTAAATGGCGCTGGGCGAACCGAGGCCGCCGGCGCCGATGATCAGCGCGCTGGACTGCATCAGGGTGCGCTGGCCCTTGGAGCCTACGTCTCCCATGATGATGTGACGGCTGTAGCGTTTGACCTGTTCGGGAGTCAGAGCAAGGGGCTGTGTGGCCATGGCGGTGGTTCCTCCTGCCCGCCGGTCGAAGCGGCGGTGATATGGCGTGCGTGAGGTTGAGGGAAAGTACTTGTGCCCACAGTGGATTACAAAGAAAAAACCTGCCCCTGCCCTCCAGGGGCAACCCCATTCCGGGGCGGGCGCAGGCTACTGGCGATTTGCGAGGACTGCGTGCCCCCTATGTAGGAGGACAAGTACAAGCGCTATCCATAGTGTTATTCAATGAGTCCATTAAAGACGGGATTCTAGCGCGGTAAGCCTCGCATTGTCAAGATTGGAGGCGACGGAGCGTCGCGGCGGGACAGGTTCCCTGATTTGGCTGATAACCTCCACGCTGGAGGCTCAGGCCGGACTGGCGGGGATAAGCCTGCGATGCCGCTCTTCTCTGATGGATCCCATCAGGACTGAAGGAGGGGCTATGGCCCTTTCCAGGGTGCAGTGGGTGAACGAGCCACCAAAACCTTGCCGCAACGACGAGTCACGGGCGTTCGGGACGCCGTTAATCACCCGGCGTACCCTTTCGGCCGTAATGCTGTCGGCGTAGTCTTCGCATTCAACGAGGATAAACCTGCGATTGCCGCCATCTTCATTATTGAGCGCCAGAACTGCGTGGGCGGTGGTTCCGGATCCGGCGAAGGAATCGAGAACGATGTCATCGGGCCCGGGAGCGCCTATCTGCAGCAGGTCCTTTATCAAGGTCACCGCCTTGGGGTATGGGAATGAACGACCCACTTCAGGAAGTACCTCCGCCAGGGACAGACCGCCCGCACGGCTGCTGTATTCAGTCTTGTAAAAGACCGATTTCGGCTTTTCTGTGGGCACATCACTAAACAGCGGGCGTTGCTTGGAATATATAGCGATACTCCCGTCTTTCCTGCGCTTGGCGAATACGTCCGAGGGATTCTCTCGTATTCTGCGCTTGCTCCAACGCCATATCCCGTTGCCATTCCTCATGGCGGGATAGACCGCTGTATAGGGTCCGCCTAGATCGGGTTCCGTATCGTCGTCCGTAACTTCGATCTCGTCGTGAGGCCCCACAAATATCGGGTAGTCCAACGACTCCGAATATGTCAGACCGCCACGGCGGAGCATTTCGGGCTTGTAATATCCCCTGTGGTCCTGTTGCCAGTCGGCCAAGCCTTCCTCATCGACGGGAAATCGGCCCAGCTCCACCGTGCTGCGTTCCTTGGCGTACGCCAGGCAGTATTCGTGGGCTCCGGCAAAACCGAACTGGTCGCTGCTGCCGGACAGGTTTGAGACCACTGCAATGTCGGCAATGAAGTTGCCCTCCCCGAAGATCTCGTCCATCAGCATCCGGAGATGGTGGTGCTCAATGGCGTCGATGGACACGAAGATCACGCCGCTGTCGGACAGCAGCTCCCGGAGCAGGTGTAGACGGGGCCACATCATGCATAGCCACTTGTCGTGCGGTTCCAATTCCTCGGCTTCGACGGGAATCTGCCGGTCCAGCCAATCCCGCATCAGGGGACCGTTCACACCATCGTTGTAGATCCACCCTTGATTGCCGGTGTTGTAGGGAGGGTCAATGTAGACACACTTGACGCGACCCTCGTAAAGAGGCAGCAGTGCCTTCAGGGCGAGGAGGTTGTCGCCCTGAATGATGAGGTTGTCGTCATGGCCGCGCTGGTTCAGAGATTTGCCAGGATCCTGGACGAGCGGGCGATAAGGCACCGCCCTGTGATGGGCGTAGACGATCTGCTTGCCCTTGAACTCCAGCATGGGCATACCACCCCTCCCGTCACAACAACACTCACACGCCCAATCCTACTCGCATGGCCCGTGGTCAAGCCAAGCTTGTGGCAAGCCAAGTTCAAGCAAAAGCGCGACCCCGGCGACTGCCGGGGCCCTGGATAGAATGGTCCTGCGAAGTAGTGAGGGGAACACTAAACCCAGACTGGAAGTTGCAGATCCGCGAACAGAGGTGAGGCCTGGGGTGTACTCTCCACCGTCCGTTATCTGCGGCTGCCCGCTATATGCCGCTGCGACGCAGGATCGCCGGTTTCAGTGTTTCGAGAGGAATGGCGTAAAAATTTGCCCTGCCGTGAGCTTGGTTATGCCGTAGCTTTCCCACCTTTTCCAGGCCCCCACGACCCTCGACCAGCAGCTTGTACCTCACCACGTCCAGCAGGACCCATGCTGCGAAATCGGTTTCATCCTCATTTGCCCAAGCATAGAAATACAGCTGGGCAGCCAGGTAAAACCACTCGCCCTTTGCCTCGTGTTCTCTACCCGCGGCGTTTCTGAATTCTTGGGTGAAATCCCCGTATCTCACCAGGTTCTCGTGCCTTCGAAACTTCTGCTGAGCGGTAATGATTTGCCCGGATTTCAGGCGCAGGACCGCATCGATACCAAAGGACTCATCAAGTTGCCGAAGGCGCTCATCGTCCCTGAGCAAATTCCACGTTGCATCCATCAAATATACCCTCGTAAATGCGCTGTGCAGCTGGCCTCAATTTTTGCTCAAATTCCCGGTCTCGCTGGTAAACCATAGTTTCCTGTGTGCAGGGAGGATTGGTAGATTTGCATCAATGGTAGGTGGAATGATCGAGCTGTAATGGCACAGACGGATCCGATAATGGTATCTCAGAATACGACAATGATTCTAATTGAGACAAAACAGAGGTGGACGAGTCGTGCGGATAGTACCATTTTAAAGAATACTACCGATACAGCACGACACAATCCACCCAATGGTCCCCGTGGTTCGGGAAGAAGAAAGGCCCCCGGAGTACTCCGGGGGCCTCTTCGTTGCCTGGTTGCCGCTCAAGCGGCTGGTATTCTAGCCGCGACCGTTGCGGAGCAGGCGCCCGGGGTAGGCGCCAGTGGGCTCGCCGTCCTCGAAGGTGACCTCACCGTTGACGAGGGTGTAGCGGTAGCCATTGGCCTTCTGGATCCGGCGCCACTCGCCGCCGGGCAGGTCTTCCGCCACCTCGCTGGGCAGAACCTCCAGCTTCTGGAGGTCATAGACGATTACGTCGGCCGGGGAGCCCTCGCGCAGGGCGCCGCGGTCCTGGAAGCCGCCGAAGTGGGCGGGCAGGAAGGACAGCTTGTAGTGGGCGTCCTCCAGCGAAATGACCTTCTCGTCGCGCACCAGCCACGTCAGCATGTCCGTCGGGTAGATGCCCGCGGTCAGGAACTTGACGTGAGCGCCGCCGTCGGACACGCCAGCCACGATGTGGTTGGAGTCCAGCACCTCGGCGGTGTACTGGGCCTGGTCGCGGCCCTGGGTGTCGGCGTAGAACTCGGTGGCCAGGTCGTCCTCGACGCACATGTCCAGCAGCGCGTCGATGACGTGCTTGCCCTGCGCGTCGGCGATCTGCTGCACCGTCTGTCCGGCCTGCGGGCTGGAGGCCTCGGTTTCGTCGGGGGCCAGCGCAATCATGCGCCCGTCCACGGCGTTGACCACGAAGGACTTCATACGCAGTTCGGGGTTGGTGATGCAGCGCCCGCCGTCGTGCTCGTACTCATAGGCGTGGGTGTCGCAGACGAAGGAGTCGCCCTCGTCGCCGATGGTGCCGCCCAAGTGCGGGCAGATGACCGAGAGCAGCTTGAAGCCGTCGCGCGTGTTGACCAGGAAGTAGTCGGCCCCGCCAACACTGACCTTGGCCGGCATCTTGGTGAAAGTCGGACTCGGCGCCGATGTCGATTCTGACCTTGCGGGTCATGACCTGGAGGCTGCCTACTGAGCCTTGAACCACCAAGGTGGGGCGGGTGCCGGAGTCCCACTCTTCCTTCAGCTTGCGGCGCATCTCCGGGTCCTGCATCTTGGCCTTTCGGGTGGCCTTGTCCCCAGGTGACCTCACGCCACATGGGGGTGTCGTCAAACAGGTTCCAGTCCTCGAAGGTCAGCTCGAAGCCACCGCGGCGGGTAGCGCCCTGACCGTAGACGCGCAGGCCACGCTCGGCGCAGCTTTCCAGCCAGCGGATGCGCTCGCGGTGCTGCTCGGGGTGGACGGCGTTGGGGGCGACGGCCTGGTACAGCACCGGGCGTCCCGAAACCTCGGCCACACGCTCGAAGAAGTTACGGGTCTCTTCGCCCAGGGGACGGCCATCCTCGCCGGTTTCCTGGTATGCCAACTCAATGAAGCCCTCGTCGCGGTCTCTGAGCACCTGCGCGAAGGAGAGCACCTCATGCTCCGACAGGAGGTCGGTAATCATCGGGCTGCCGTCGTAGTCGCGCTGCACCGAGGTCTCGCCGAGGACCTGGGCCGACCAGCCACAGGCGCCGTGGTCCATGGCCTCGTGGATCAGCCGCACCATCTCCTGCAACTCGCCTCGGTCGGGCGGCGGCTCTTGGCCTCGTCCCAGCCCATGACCCAGGCGTAGAGCGGGGTCAGCGGGCACGTAGGTCAGGCAGTTGATGCCCTTGGGGGTGTTCTCCAGGCTGTCGATGAAGTCCGGGAACGTGACCCAGTTCCAGGGCATTCCCTCTTTCATGGCGTCGTAGGGGATGGCCTCGTTGCGGGTCATGCTGAGCATGGCGCGGTCCTGGTCCTCGACGCGGGAGGGCGCGAAAGCCGAAGCCGCAGTTGCCCAGGGCCACGGAGGTAACGCCGTGCCAGCCGGACAGGGTGCAATAGGGATCCCAGAATATCTGGGCGTCATAGTGGGTATGAAGGTCGATGAAGCCGGGGGCCACGATAGGCCCTTGGCATCGATCTCCCGGTCAGCGGTGCCGCCGTTCAGGCCGCCGATCTTGGCGATACGCCCGTCCTTGATGGCGATATCGCTGATGTAGCGGGGCGCGCGCGTCCCGTCGACAATTGTTCCGCCTCTGATAATGATATCGTAGGTTGCCATTGACCCTTCTCCTCTAGATTGATTAGGGGAAAGCAAGGGAAAAGACGCACTCTGCGGGTTGCTATTGACGAAGTCTAATATTTAGCTTCCGTACTGTCAATGGAAGGGATTTAGCGGCTGAACTCAACTGCAAGGGGCCGATATATTACGAATTGCGTTACACAAATCGTCGCAAAAAGTAAAGAAGTCCTCAAGGCTTAACGCATTCGGGGAGGCGGCATCGCCGGGGAGAAAGCTTTGTGGGGAGCGCCGGAACGGCTAGTGCGTGGCGGCCATGGTCAGCTGGCGGTCGGCCAGGTTTGCCAGCGTGATGTTGCTGAGCACGTCGAGAATGGCCTCTTCGACGGACTTCCAGACCTCCTGCTGGGCGCAGTTATCTGAAAGAACGCAGTCGAGAGGATTGATCAGGCAGTCGAGGGGGGAGCTGTTGGCGTCGAGCTTGGACATCACCATGCTGAGGTTGATGTCGCCTGGGGGCATGGCGAGCATGTGGCCGCCCTTGGGGCCGCGGCGACTGACCACGAATCCGAACTTGTTGAGGGACGCCATAAGCTGGTCGAGATAGGCCTCCGGAATGCCCTGCTTTGCCGCAATTTCCGCGGTCTGAACCGGGCTGTCTCCATATTGGAGGGCCAACTCAACGAGGGCCCGTACCCCATAGTCGACGCGCATGGGGATCTTCATCTCGCTGTTCCTCCGGAGCCTACTGGACGGCCAGTATACACCAGCCCAGTTTCAAATCCAAACCGTGTGGGTGCTGAGGGACAGGGCAATCGCATTTGGAAAACTGATGACACTTGCCGCTTGTCAAGCCTGATAACGCCTCCGTACCATATATCCATAGCCCGCTGCTTGTCACACCGTTCAGGGCAATCGCGTCTTAAACGCTGGAGGCCCTATTGGTCGTCATTCCCGCGCAGGCGGGAATCCAAACCCGCGTCTACCCTCGCACCCGAAACCGAAGGAGGCACTGCCACTCCCATCTCCACCGCCATTCAGGCCAATTTTGTGTGCTGAGTAATAAGACGCGATTGCCCTGCCACACCGTTCTAGGTCCTTCTTGGCTGAAGGCGGGTCCGTCAGGCAGTTCGCAAACAGGGCGGAAAGTGAGGTCAGGCGACAATGGGACAAAATGGGACGGGAATCAGAAATTTTTTGTCCCACGACACATGGAGCGCTGCCCTTCAGCTTTGATTTCGGCATTTTGTCCGCTGGCGGGTGGGGGAAATGGGACAAAATGGGACAAGCATGGGACAGAATTTTCCCATCGCAAGGCCCCCTGGGCCAATTGTAGTTGCCCTAGTTGCGGACGCCGGATTTCCGCCTCTGCCAATACGGAGTGCCGGTAGTGAAGGCAAAGTGGGTCCCAGACCCCTGTCAGCCTTGCCCCTGTCAGGTGCAGGGCAAGCCCTTCGTGGCGATGACGGGAAGGTGTTGTGAAGGACCAACGCAAGGGCGGGATAAATCGGCTTTCGTGGTCAATCGCCCCCGATGACCAGGAATGTACCCAGTCCTTGGGCAATAAGTCGGCCATCGTCGTGCCTTATTTCTATGTCGCCCACCATCAGTTGTCCGTCGTTACTCACCACCTCGGCGTTGGCGGTGAGGCGTCCGGAATTGGCGCTTTCTAGGAAGTTCACCTTCAGCTCGATGGTTGTAGTGCGCTGACCTGGGCCCAGGAGCGACCGGACGGCCCGGAACATGGCGGTATCGGCCAATACGGCAATCAACCCGCCATGAACCTGCCCTGCTGCCTGCAGATGGTGCGGCTGGACAGAGAGAGACACTCGGCCGGCGCCTCCCTCCGACAGCCCTATTTCCAGGCCCACAAACCTCAGGAAGGGCGAATCATCATCGTAGGGCAGGTCTGTGCCCTGATTGCTCAACAATTCTGCCTCCGGTCACACCGGGAGTAGCTACGGGTTTCGGATATAATGGCCTGTGGATTCTAATACGGGGAAAGTTGTTCTGACGAATGATTAAAGGTCTCTTCGTCGGGTTGGCGATCGTTGTGGTGCTGGCGGTGATTCCGGTCGTGCATTTCGTCGGAGTTCCCGCCGGACCGTTTATCGCCGGCTATTTCGGAATCAACGTGGGCAGGGATCAAACCGGGAACCCTGGCCGAAGGGCGTTGATTTTCGGCATTTGGATGGGCGTCTTTGTTGCCGCCATAACCGCCGTAGCGGCGATGCTTGTTACCCTGGCAGGCAATTTTGCCTATCCGTTACTGCTCTGGGGAGGAGTGGTTGTGGCGACATTCTATTACAGCAGCATGTCGGCCCTGGGAGCGTGGTATTCGGAGCTGAGGGCCTCGGAACAAGCCAACGCCGCAACAGTCCAAGGATCCGCGGTTGACGGCACCCGCCGTTAGTCCGATAGATGCCTGACGCAATTCGCCTGCTCCGCCCGCTGCAGTGGGTCAAGAACGGGCTGGTGCTTCTCCCGTTCCTCTTCGCCGTTGACATCGCGTGGTCCATCGATACCCTTGAGGACGTTCCCTCCCTGCTGGGCCGGCTGGCCTTGGTATTCGTAGGGTTCTGCTTACTTTCCAGCGGTGTTTACGTCTTCAATGATCTGATGGACCGGAACGCCGATCGAGCGCACGTCCGCAAAAGGCACCGGCCCATCGCTTCCGGCAGGGTGGGAGCGCCTGCTGCCATCGCAATGATCGCCCTTCTGACGGCAGTGGGTCTCGCCGCAATGTGGCTGGTGGGCCTGTCGCTCCTCCTCGTCTCCGCGATCTACCTCGCAATCAACGCGGCCTACTGCCTGGGCGGCAAGAATCTGGTGCTGCTGGACGTATTTGCAGTGGCTAGTGGCTACGTTATCAGGGCAGTTTCGGGCGCGCTGGCAATTGATGTCGACCCGTCGCCCTGGCTGTACACCACCACCGGCGCCGGGGCGTTGTTCATAGTGCTGGGGCGCCGCTATGCTGAGGTCCGGCTCGCCGGAGAGGATGCCGACCGGCAGCGTCCGGTGCTGGCCCGATATTCAGGACCGTTCGTATCTCAGTTGCTTACCGTCTCTGCAACGGCGGCATTGCTCAGCTATACTTTGTATACGATTGAGGCGGAGAATCTTCCCGAAAACAACGCAATGCTCTTCACCCTGCCGCTGGTGGCCCTCGGTCTGTTCCGCTACCTGTACCTGCTGAATCACAGTAGCGACGCCGAGGCCCCGGAGCAGTTGATGGTCCGCGATATTCCGCTGCTGGCCACGGTTGTTGCTTGGCTGGCAGTCTCAGCAGCTGTATTGCTGCTCAACGGGTGAAACAAGCCGCAGGCGAAGACAGGGTCCTTTCAAGTTGCCCAGCGACCATAGTAGCGGTGCAGTCGACGCCGCCCAGACAGGAGTGCCGATGCAAGTACAGCCAGCGCCCGCCCACCCTTCTGCGCGGACAGGTCCCTCTGTGGTTGCTGTGGTTGCGACCAAACCGGAAACGGTACAGGACGATATCGCCCGCGCCATGCAACTGGCCGGAGCCGCGGAAGCCCTGCCCCCGGGGAACCGGACTCAGCTCAAGGTCAACATTTCGTGGCAGCACTGGTATCCCGGTTGCTCAACAACTCCTTGGCAGATTGAGGGCGTCACCAACGCGCTGAAGGCCATGGGACACCAGGATTTGATCGCGGCTCATAACGGCACGGTTGTGGTGGACTCCTACGAGGGCGAGGAAAACAATAAGCACAAGGTAGCCCAGGACAAGGTTGGACTGCCTTCCATTCACCTCGACAGTCCACCCAACCTCTGGATTGACTACAAGCCCCGCGCGGAGATGCTGGCGTTGGACGACATCTTCCCGGAGGGCATCCAGATTCCGGAGAGTTTCCCAGGGACCAACATCGTGCACCTGCCCACGATGAAGACCCACGTGTTCACCACCATGACCGGAGCGATGAAAAACGCGTTCGGCGGCTTGCTGCATCGCAAGCGGCACTGGACGCACTCCGTTATACACGAAACGCTGGTAGACCTGCTGGCGATACAGCAGGAGATTCACCCCGGGTTGTTCGCGGTGATGGACGGCACTTTTGCGGGAGACGGACCAGGCCCCCGGGCCATGCGCTGGCACATCAAGAATCGCATCCTTGCCAGCTCCGACCAAGTGGCCATCGACGCGGTGGCCGCGAAGATGATGGGCTTTGATCCGATGAGCATACCGTTCATCCGCATAGCTCACGAGCGGGGGCTGGGATGCGGTGAAGTCGCAGAAATAGACGTTCGAGGCGAGGATATCAGCGAGGTCAACTGGCACTTCGCCGGCGCCGAAAACACCTTCGCCAGCCGGGGGCAAAAGCTCATCTACTGGGGGCCGCTCAAGCCCCTGGAGAACATGCTGCTGCGCAGCCCCATCGTCGGCTGGGCTTTCCTGGCCTCCAACCTTTACCACAACGGCTACTGGCTCAAGACCAAGGGCCGACGCCGCATCGAGGCCGCCCTGAAGACCGAATGGGGCCGGCTTTTTCTGTCGTACTGAATCTATTCGTTAAGAATACAGGAGCAATATCCAGGCATGGACATAGCTATCATCGGGCTGCCTCAGAGCGGAAAGACCACAACCTTCAATGCACTCACTGCGGGACATGGGGCAGCCACCGGGGGAGGGAGTGCGGGGCCTGTGCAGATTGGGGTCGTGAAGGTTACCGACCGGCGTCTCACTGTCCTGGAGGGCATGTACAATCCCCGGAAGGTAATATACGCCGAGATAAAATTCTGGGACCTTCCACCCGCCGACCGTGCCAATCGCAGCCAAGGCCTGGCGGGCCGGCATCGCAACATCCTGCAGGGGACGGGAGCCCTTTTGCTGGTGGTTAGGGCTTTCGACAGCGAACTGCAGGGCGCGGCGGAGCCGGCGCAGGAACTATCGGCGATGCTCAGTGAGTTGACACTGTCCGACCTGGAAACTCTGGAACGAGTGGAATCGCGCCTGGCGGACTCCCTCAAGAAGTCGAAGCCTGCCGAGCGGCCTGCCCTCGTACCCCAGGCAGATGCCGTCCGGAAATGCCGGGAGGCACTCGAATCCGGCGTTCGAATTCGGCAGCAGGAACTGACTGCCTCGGAACGTTCGGCGATAGTCGATTACCAGTTGCTGACCGACAAGCCGATCATAGTCGCCTTCAACACTGATGAATCCGGCGAGGCGCCGTCCCTCGCGTCCCTCGAATTGCCGACGGAGATGACCGATGGATTGGGGACGGTCCAGTTGAGCGCAAAGCTGGAGGAGGACCTGGCGGCGATGCCGGAGGATGAAGCGGAGGAGTTTCGCGACGCCCTTGGGCTGACTGACTCAGCCATTGAACGGGTCAAGCAGGTCTGCTACGACACGGTGGGGCTGGTCTCATTCCTTACTGTCGGAGATGATGAGGTGCGGGCCTGGCCGGTGCCGGAGGGCATTCCGGCCCTGGACGCAGCGGGCACGATACACACAGACTTCATCCGGGGCTTTATCCGGGCGGAGGTCATTCACTACGACGACCTGGTGCGGTGCGGCAGTGTGGCGAATGGCCGCAAGGAAGGTGTGCTGCGATCCGAGGGTAAGACCTACCAGGTAAAGGACGGCGACGTCATCAACTTCCTGATCAACGTCTAGTCCCGTAGGAAAGGCAAGCTAAGCCAAGCCAAACGCCATCCTTCGACAGATCCAGGATGACCGACTAGCTCAGGACGAACGGCCCCGCGGCAGTGGTTTTGCGAAGCTCAGTTCGTGGCCGTCGGGGTCGTCGATGTGAAAGTATCGCTCGCCCCACGGGGCGTCGGCGGGCTCGCTGGACGGCTTGAGGCCGAATCCGGTGAGGCGCTGGTAGTGGGCATCCACATCATCAACATGGAGAATTAATCTCCCCCACCACGCGGGCTTTTCGTGGCTCAGTATCAGGTTGACGAAGCCTTCGCCAACCCTGAAAGCTGGTGAACGAGGCATCCTCACCCCCATACAGCAATTCCAGGCCGACGTGGTCTCGGTAGAACACCACCGAGCGGGCCATGCCCGTCACGGCTAGGGTGATGGCGCTGATGGTTTCCACGCCCATTGCCGTTCACTGTCCTCGCGCCCTGATCAGCCGCCGCGCCTGCGACGCGGCCGTTGCAGCCCCCGGATACGCTCGCTCGGTCAGTACCCAGTCCAGCCGACCCCTAAGGGCCTCAACTTCCGATGGTGAAAGGAGTTCCAACAACTCCTGCAGCCTTTTCGGCATGCTGTTCTGGGGACCATTTAGCCTTGCATTGAATTCGGTCAGGGAATCCAGCAACTCATCGGGAATTGGCTCGCCGCCAAAATCCCAGATCACCGTGCGGATCTTTACGTCAGAGTGGAATGTCAGGCCGTGGTCAATGCTCCAGAGCTTCCCGGCAGGGTCGGTAATCAGGTGATTGGGCTTCCTGTCGGTGCTGTTGGCAACCAAGTCGAAGCAACAGACCATGCGAAGCTGATCGGCGTAGTCAGAGCCGAGGTTGTAGTAGTTCTCTTTGGGGTCGTGCTCAATGAACTCCTGCACCGACCCGATGCCGTAGGGACCGTCACGAATTATAGTGAAGGGGATAAGGTCCCAGCCTAGGATATCGCTAAGCAGGTAGGCGGCGCATTCCCGCTTGTACAGAGTGCCGTTAGGGAAATCCCATAACGGCGCCTCGCCGTCCCGGGGCTTGTAGATGGCATAGGCTTCCAGACCGTCCTGGGCGACATTGACGACGAAGGTGTAGTTGGATCCCAGTCGCGTCAACTGGCAGGACAGGATCTCGCCGTGCCGAAGCACTTCTTGTACTTTGGTGTCGGAGGTCAAACGGCGATATCCGGAGCGTGGGATTGACCCCTATCCGGCCTCAAGTACGGTGTGCCCATTGGCCCTGGGGCATACATGGCCCATCGGGGTTGATGGGTTGACCGCAGAGAAAGCAGGTGGGCCGGCCTGCTGCGCAAATACGCAGCGATTCCTCGGCCAAGACGGTGGCCTGATTCAGAGTGATCCAGAAGCTGATAGATTCTGCCTCACCCTCACTCTCACCCTCCTGACGTTCCTCGTCGGTCTCCCTCTCGTGGGCCTGCATGTAGAAGGAGTTAGTCTCTTTGTCATGGCTGAGAAACATCTGACCAGCCTTGAAGTCAATAGACTGCTCCCCGCCGTTCCAGTCGGATTCCTTGGGTGCGCTGCCTCCCTCCTTCTCCTCACTCGACAGTCCGGCGACATAGTCCCGGAGGTAAACGCCCAACTGGAACAGCTGCTCCTTTTCCAGCCAAAGGGAGCAGAATGCTTGCCCGGAGTGTAGGTCCAGCCTGAATGTTCGCCGCCCGGGTTCTCCCAAAGTAACCGGCTCGACACGCGAGAGTGTCCCGAGCTGGTATTTCACTTGCTTTTCTTCCATAGAGCTATGATAGTGGGCCGCGGCCCTAGGTTGCAAGCGGCCCAGGGGGTCGTCTGCAGGGCCGCATTTCCCGGCGCACAAATGGAGACCGCTGGTCGATTCCTCGGTAGCCAATCGACGACTGTGTACCACCCTGCCTCATCCGGTGGCTGCCCGCGCCCGGTATTGCAGGGCCTCCCCCAGATGCGACACTCCGATGACCTCCGCATCGTCCAGGTCGGCAATGGTGCGAGACACCTTGAGCACCCGGTGAAAAGCGCGTGCTGACAAGCTAAGACGCTGGGCGGCCGTCTGTAGGAGGCTGCGTGCTCCGTCTTCCATCTGGCAGTGCTCCCAGACCTCCGCCGGGCCCATCTCCGCGTTGCAGAGGAACCCGTTGTCCCTGAACCGTTCCCGCTGTAAGTCCCGGGCCTTCTCAACTCTTTGGCGCGGCCCGCTGGAGTCCTCGCCTGCGGCGCTTTCCACCAGCTTGTCATATTCGACGGGAGGCACTTCGACAAACACGTCCACCCGATCCATGAGCGGACCGCTGATCTTCTTCTGGTAGCGGGCCACTGTGGACGCACTGCAGGTGCACTCCTTCACTGGGTGATTGTGAAATCCGCATGGACAGGGATTCATTGCGGCGACCATCATGAAACTAGCGGGGTAAGTAACCGAGCCCGAAACGCGGCTGATTGTGACGACCTTGTCCTCCAATGGCTGCCGCAGCGACTCAAGCGCAGAGTGGTTGAACTCCGGCAGCTCGTCAAGGAACAGCACGCCGCGATGGCTGAGCGTGATCTCCCCAGGGCGCAGCGAGCGGCCGCCGCCCACCAGGCCGGCATTCGAGATGGTGTAGTGAGGGGATCGGAACGGTCGCTGCAACATCAATGGGTTTTCGCTATGCAGCGACCCGGTCACGCTGTAAATCTTGGTAACCTCTAGGGCTTCCTGCGGGGCCATTCGGGGCAGAATTGAAGGCAGGCAGCGGGCCAGAAGTGTCTTGCCGCTTCCCGGAGGTCCGCTGAACAACAGGTTGTGGAATCCCGCTGCTGCCACCTCCAGTGCCCGCTTTGCGTGTTCCTGCCCCTTGATGTGCACCAGATCCATCTGGACCTGGGCGCAGGTCTGCGTGGAGCACTGGGCCCACGCATCACCTTCATTGGCTCCAGAGGGGCCTCGCCACGGATATGCCTTACCACTGAATCGAGTGTGGGCACGGGATAGACTGTGATGTCCTCCACCAGCGAGGCCTCCTCGGCGTCCTCTGCCGGCACAAACACCGATTCAAACCCCTGGTCGCGAGCCACCGACGCCATTGTGAGGATGCCGTTCGTGTGGCGCAGGCTGCCGTCCAAGGACAATTCGCCCAGGAAGACCGCGTCGCCAGGAACGGACTCCAGCTGTCCGGAACTCAGCAGTATTCCAATGGCAATGGGCAGGTCGTAGGCCGGACCCTCCTTTTTCATGTCGGCGGGCGCCAGATTGACTGTGATGCGCCGCATTGGGAACTCGCAGCCACTGTTGCGAAGGGCAGCGCGTACTCGTTCTTTTGCCCTCCTGCACCGCCGTGTCGGGAAGCCCCACCATGTTGAACCTCGGCACACCAGGTGAGAGGTCCACCTCCACCCGAATGATGTATCCCTCCAGTCCGACCATGGCGCATGAATTGGTGCAAGCTAACACGGTGCCCTCCTATGCCGCTCGCCGCCCCGGCAGCAGCTATATGCGATTTGCTCGCAGCTCCTGACGGGCGTCAGTCGAGTCGCAGGTGTGTCCGATCCTCGGATCTATGAAACTATAGTTCTACAATGTGAGTCTGCGCAAGGAGCAAATGTCAGCAATTTTCGGCAGGCTGATGGAAACGTATTCGTAGAAGCACGGCAGTGTTCCCCTTCGGAAGGGGAGGCTTAGAAGAAAGGGGAAATTCGGGGGCTCATGTTCGAGGAACGTTGAATTGCAGCAGGTCGTAGGCGGCACTGATGGGGCCGGAGTAGTGGCGCGCAGCGTCTTCCAGTAGAGGCGCCTGGTCTTGGTGGAAGGCGTCGTCGAGATGTGTCAGGACCAGGAACTTCGCAGATGACTCGGCAGCGACCCTGGCCGCGTCGCCGGACGTCGAGTGCAGGCGGCTGACAGCCATATCATGCCTCTCGTCGGTGGAGAGGGCCTCGTGTATCAGCAGGTCTGCTCCCTGGGCGGCCTCAACGAGGCCGCGGCTGTAGGTGGTGTCGCCCGAAAAGACGACTGCTATGCCTCCCGTCTCAATGCGCCAGCCGACGGAACCGGGAATGTGGTCAACGTCGAAATTCCAAGCCACAGTCTCCGGCCCCAGTTCCAGCTTGTGGCCTGGGAGCGCTTCCTGCCAGCGCATCACTTGGCGACCAACGTGGTTGTAGGCACCGCCGTCGCGGATGTCCGGGACGCGGCCGGCGATTGCGGCCTTGCGCAGGCCCTCGAGACCAAGGGAGCTGCCGTAGATCGACAGGGGTGCCTCGTCCGGAGTCTCGTGGGAACGGCGGCCCTGGACGAACATCAGACCCGACAGGTGGTCCTGATGGTCATGGGACAACAGGACGTGGTCGTAGTCTATTGCCCGGAAACCGGATGCCTCGCCATTTCGCAGTGCCGAATTGCCAGAGCTGCCGTCAAGGAGCAGGGTCGTGCCATCGGCACAGCGGAGGGCGATGGCGGTGTGAGCGCGGGTCGTGGACATTCCCGCCCCGGTGCCCAGGAAGGTAATCTCTAGGCTACTCATTTGATTGTAATCTGGTGCAAGTCGATGGGCGAGGGTGATCGGTCCGGTGTAGTGCTCCGCCGCTTCCTCACCCAATGGCTGAGAGTCTGCATGGTAGACGTCGGTGAGATGTGTGAGCACAAGGGATGCGGCACCGGCCTCCGCGGCGGCCTGGCCTGCTTCGCCGCCGGTGCAGTGGCCCGCGGCCCTCGCGAGGACGCTGTCGGCAACGCAGAAGGCCTCGTGAATCAACAGGTCGACGCCCTGGGCCGCTTTAACCAACTCGGGGCTGTACCTGGTGTCGCCGGAGAACACCACAGTCTTCCCATCGCACTCCACCCGCCAGCCCGACGCGCCGGTGATGTGATCGGCCGGGAAGTGCCAGGCCGTCGTCCGTGGCCCAAACTCGATGACGTGGCCGGACGCAGCCGGTTTCCACTGCAAAAACTCCCGCCCCTCCCAGTTACGGCCGAAATCCCCGGAGACGTCCCAGATGTTAAGGCGGGTTGCGAGGCAGTGGCGTTTCAGCCCTTCCAGAGACTCGTAGGAAGAGTGCACCCGCAGTGGCCCCCGGTCCACCCCTGACAGTGCGCGGTCAAACTGGATGAAGTCGATACCGGACATATGGTCAGGGTGGTCGTGGGATAGCAGCACGTCGTCGAATAACCTGATGTCAATTCCCGCAGCGGCAGCGTGACGTAGCGCGGAGTTGCCGGAACTGGCGTCCAGCAGCAGATTAGTGCCGTCGGGACACTCAAGGGCAATGGCTGAGTGCGCGCGCTGAGACGAGTTACCAGCCCCTGTACCGAGGAAGGTGATCTTCATGGTCGTTTACTTCTGGTTCCCGTCAGGGTGGGCCTGCTCTCGCAGCAGGCTCAGCGCGCGTAGCACCGGTGCCTCGGTGAAGCTGAACAGGACGGCAGGCTCGGTGTCTGATGCGTTGGCGTGCTCGTGGTAGTTCCAGCCTGGGACGCAGAACACATCCTTGTCCTCCCAGTCGATGGCCTGGCCGTTGACCACCGAGCGGCCGCGTCCCTGCACCACGTGGTAGACGGCGCTGGCAGTATGGCGGTGGGCCTTGGTGGCCTCGCCAGGACGCAGCATCTGGATGTGGCAGGCTATGGTCGGCATCACCGGCCCGCCGGTGTTGGGGTTTGTGTACTCCATGATCACGCCGTCATAGGGGCTGCCGTCAACCTCGGGGGCGCCAGACGTTGCAGCGTCTCCCAAGTCTGCTGCCACGGGTAGTGCATCAGCGGCGAGTGAGCTGCACCGCTGGTTTCCCACGAGGGGCGAAGGGTGCCAGCCCCATAGCGCGTCAGCGACGAGTCGGTCGGTTCGGTGACCGGCTGAACGTCTTCGGGATACGGCTCGTAGTAGACCGCCTCCAACATGTGAACCAGCGGTATGTCCAGCCCGTCCAGCCAGATGATGGGATCATCGGTGTCATTAGCGTGGTCGTGCCAGGTCCAGTTGGGAGTGAGCACTAGGTCACCAGGGTACATGGGGATGCGGTCGCCATTGACCGTTGTGGATCCACCCTGGCTGTCTATGATGAACCGCAATGCAGCAGGTGTGTGCCGGTGGGCTCGGGCGGCTTCGCCGGGCATGACGATCTGCAGTCCGGCGAACATGGAATTGGTGGTGGCCATGCGGTTCAGGCCTGGGTTGAGAAGCATCAGCACCCGGCGTTCGGCGTCGGCGGTGCCGATGAGGTCGCCCGCCCGAAGCGCCTGGGGTTGCAGGTCGCGCCACCGCCACAGGAAGGGCAGAGCCTTGCTCCTGGGTTCGGCAACCAGCGCCTCTTCCTGAACCAACCACAGGGGTGACGTGCTGTAGCCGCACAGGTCTTCGTAAAAGCGGTCCAGGGTCTCTGCCGTTGCTCCCGAACTGGATAGCATTGCTGCCTCCGGAGTGGGTGAATAGTGAACGATATGCCGGTCAGCGGCGGTCGCTCCATTCCCGCCAGGCTGTCAGTTGCGCTTCCAGGGCCCGCTGGCGCAGGGCGATGGTCAGGTCGCCGCGGGTGCGCTCAAGCACGGCGCGCATGGCGTCGGTGGTATGGCGCAGGCCACCCGTGACTGCCTCGGGGAAGTCCACGGTGACCAGTACGCCATAGATTTCGTCCATGACTTCCATAAGCTCCTCGCACCGCCCTATGCTGTCCTTGCGCAGGCCGTCGAGGATGTAGCGGCGCAGTTCTCCGATGACCTCGGCCATCCCATTGAGGTAGGCGGGCGGATCTATGCCCAGGTCCTCGGCGGAAGGTATGTCATTGCCGGAGATGACCGCCAGGGTGATGTTGGCCTCGGTGAACTCCTTGCGGGCGTCGTTCATAAACCCCGCGTTGTAGATGAGCGGACTGTCGGCGCGGATATGCTCTGAGTCCTGCAGGCGTGATTCCGCGGATCCGATAAGTCGTGCGGCCTCGTCGAAGTCGGCGCGATGGACAGCGCGGATGGCGTTGGCGGAAAGGCGGATCACCTCGCGGGATACCGACAGGCCCTCCTCGCGGTCGCGATTGCGACTGGTGAGTTGTTCGATGGCGTGGTTGCCGATGGCGCTCAACTCGGCGCTGTACCTTGATGGCATCAGACCCTCCCTCCGGCGGCCTCTATCGCCGCGGTCATGGCGGCTGCGGCTGCCTCGGGCTCTCCGGCCGATCCCACGGCGGCAGTAACGCAGATAGCGTCAGCGCCGGCCTCGACCACTGGTGCGACGTTGCTCAGGTTGATGCCGCCAATGGCGACCAGGGGCGTGTCTCCGGAGATGCTCTTGGCCTCCCGCACTCGTTCCGGGCCTTGTGGGTTGCGGGCCACGCCTTTGCTGGTGGTGGCGTAGATGGCTCCGAAGGCGACGTGGTCGGCTCCCATTTCCTTGGATTCAACGAGCTGCGCGAACTCGCGATTGGAGCGTCCCAGCACCTGGTGCGGGTTGAGGACCTGCCGGGCTCGCGCGACGGGCAGGTCGGTCTGGCCCACGTGCAGGCCGCCAGAACCGACCGCCGCCGCCACGTCGGCGTGGTCGTTGATGATCAGCAGGGCTCCGGTTCGTATGCAGAGATCCTGCAGTGCGGATGCTAGCGGCAGCGACTCTCCCTTGTCGCGGAGCTTGTCTCGCAGTTGCAGCATGCGCGCTCCGCCGTTTACGGC